CTCTAAATCCACAACTTGATGTTGGGAGTGGTGGTATAACTCTACACCCATAACCTGATGTTGATAATTGTGGTATAACTTTAAATCCACAACTTGATGTTGATAGTGGTGGTAGAACTCTACACCCACAACGTGATGTTGTTAGTGGTGGTATAACTCTAAATCCACAACTTGATGTTGATAATGGTGGTATAACTCTAAATCCACAACTTGATGTTGATAGTGGTGGTATAACTCTAAATCCACAACTTGATGTTGATAGTGATGGTATAACTCTACACCCATAACCTGATGTTGATAGTTGTGGTATAACTTTAAATCCACAACTTGATGTTGATAGTGGTGGTAGAACTCTACACCCACAACGTGATGTTGTTAGTGGTGGTAGAACTCTACACCCACAACGTGATGTTGTTAGTGGTGGTACAACTCTAAATCTACAACTTGATGTTGTTAGTGGTGGTATAACTCTAAATCCACAACTTGATGTTGGTAGTGGTGGTATAACTCTAAATCCACAACTTGATGTTGGTAGTGGTGGTATAACTCTAAATCCACAACTTGATGTTGATAGTGATGGTATAACTCTAAATCCACAATTTGATGTTAACAGTGGTGGTATAACTCTAAATCTATAACGTGATGTTGGTAGTGGTGGTATAACTCTAAATCCACAACTTGATGATGGTAGTGATGATATAATTCTAAATCCACGACTTATCAGCAAAAGTGAAATTAAAATATCACTACCAATAGTTATTCATCGTAAGGCTATTGATTTTGCCGCGATTATGCAAAAAAAATATATATTTATGCACCCATTAGCTGATGTGAAAGCCGTTTGAAGCAATAACGCTTGAGACGATGTTAGACGTAATTAATCAATGAGACTCCTCCACACTTGAGACGATGTTAGACGTAATTAATGAGACTCTGCCAGTAATTTAATAGTTTTATGTTTACGAAACAACAATTTTAAGAAGTATTTTGACCGATCATCAATCAGACTCGGGCGGTTTTCACTCACCAACCAACAAGAAACAAACTAAGTCAAAAGTTATAAATCTCGTTACACTGGTCTAGACTTGACCTTAATAAGTATAGAAATTTAGCCTTTTATTCTGTTCTTTTGTGTAAAATGTGCAAAGAAATGCCACAGCTCCGTTAAACTCGCAGACCTGTTAACTAAGATCGAGTGATGTTCAACTCGTCATCTACACTAATCTTTAATGGCATTTCTATAAGACGATTTAGTTTTAAAGAGGTTTTATGAGTTTAATACTTTTGTTATAAAGTTATACATCGTTAACTTACGTATTTTGAAGATCATATATTTTACAGCTGAATAAAACTGAATGTAATTTAATCCCACCATTAGTTGTTTTGTTGTAAAACACAAAGCAACACAATGGGCTATTTGTGCTTTACCCTCCACGAGTATCGAAACCCGGTTTTAGCGGAGTGAACCCTCAGACTTACCGATTTAGCCACTGGAAAGGCCTCACCATACAACGACCAATTTATGATAACGTCACCTTTCCCCACGAGAGGTCAGCACTATGCATATATCGATTTGTCTTTCTTTCTTTATCTGTTATCTAAAACAAACTAATTAATTATTTAATAGTTTTGTCGTTTTTTTTCCCCACGTTGACGTTAAAGTTCCACCTCCACGTGCGGGGCGAAGAGGAATAGATTCAATTCTGAACACCCCGATTGGGTAAGGTTTGCCGCCATCGAACTTTACCTTTTAACTAAATATCTGTAAAGAAAAAAAAAGGTTTAATTTAATAGTTGTTTTAACATTAACGTTTCCTAGTATAATGATACTCACTGCGAAAAATCTGAATAATGTTCAGATTGGTTAATGTTTTTAGGAATGTGTCTTCAAAGTAAGGAATTAATACATTAATGATTAGTTAGAAATTCTTAATTTTGTCTAATAACATTACATTTTTTTTTTACTAAAATCAAGCTAAAGAATCAGTGTGGAAATAAGTAAATACATAGCAAATCTCGTTCCAAAATAAACACTTAAGATATGTTAATCAAATCTGGTCCTAACAACTGGTAATGACTTCCAAAATTTACGATAATAAAGATTTACTAAAACGCTGAAATTCTGGGATTTTGAAGATAACCCACAGTGTAGCTTTGGCTACAACAAAAGATAACCCACAGTGTAGTTTTGGCTACAACAAACGAACTGAGGTTTATGACAACAATTAAACATTAGAAACTGATCAAGAAGAGTCCATGTACAATGATAGTGATTTCCTGACACTTAGAAGGAACACTCGACTGATTTAAACTTCCAAACTATCTCAGTCACTTTAAGGTTACAAAGAAAAGCTTGAATAGCTAAAAGAGAGATGAGAAGATTGTTACATGTGCTGAAGAACAACAATAGCGTGTGTTGAAACGAAGTAATGTCGAATAAAGCAGGGAACCTGTTACAATAGTGGACATAAAATACTCTGAGAATAGATCAGTTCCTGTAACTTGTAAAACAATGTGGACAAAACAACTTTTACAGTAGATAAGTTATTGTAACTCGTAAAACGTAAACTACTCTAAAAGTCGATCAGTTCCTGTACCTTGTAATTGTTACTATCTATGTAGATACTGCTGAAACCCAGATCTGTTATTTAATAAATCGTTACTTTAGATCCTCAGTAATAACGTGTTTAATTCAGTAAATATTTCTACCAACAGATAGTCGCAGCATCAGTCACTGGAGAATTAATACACGAAACATCGTGTACTTAATATAAATTAATACTTTTTTGACTTTATCAGCCTGAACCACCACTGCTATTTTGGAGGTATTTAGGTACACTCATATCCGACACAAAATCCAGAAAAAACATAGGTTCAGGATTGTTAAACGAAGAATGAATTGAACACGGACAGCAAAAGAAAAACCAATTACACAACTGAATAGATAAAACAAAACAAAATCTTGTTTGTAACAATTGTGGTTATATTAGCTTTTACTTACTGGTCGATTTCGTAATTATTTGAGATTCAATCTTGCTGCTGAGGCTGGAGAGTTTTTTTACACATATGAAGAATTATAATAAACGGCAGTTTCAAATCAGTCAACAGATTTGAGTGTGGTACATAATAATCCCAAGCTGTATACGTCACCGCCTATTCCAAATAGCATAGAAACTGAAGAAATGTTTAACTCATACCAATTTGTACAACAATTTGTGTCATCTCTTGAAGTATTCCAGATGCTTTATCAGTCTTTCTGTCACAAAGTTACCAACCAAAACCACTACTATTATTTCAGTCTCTCTGTCACATGGTAACTGTACATAGTAAGATTTAATTTCTATCCTAACTACCTCTTTTATTCCAGTATTTGGATTTTCAGGCTTCAGTGAGAAGTGTGATACATATATTTTCATGTCTCAATTAGTGGTGTGTTACGTATTGTGAATTTGAAATAGTCCGAAGCCGATATTTTCGTTTTTCACACAAATACGTTTTAAAATATATACAAAAGTACAATTTACAACAATTATTATGAATAGCTACCACGAACAAAGTTTTATAAACAACAATTTCACTAACTTACAAAAAACATAAAATCTTCTTTCTATTTCAGAGTCTCCTTGATATCCAGCGAGTTAACTTGAAGTGGGTGTACGTACAATTGCCGAGAAGCTAGCTAGCTTTGTCAGACACTGAATTGTTGGACCGTCGAAGTAAAATAATATTTTCATAAAACCACTAATGTCCGATAAGAATCCACTGACATTCGAAATTTATAACTGTTCCTGGACAATTGTCGTAAATTTTCTGGTTGATAAGGGTTAGCAAAATCACGATTTATAGTGTACACGGTTATAGCAGTCTCCTAGCCAACTTTTCTAAGCTCTCTGTCTCTCTTGGCGCCTCGCCTTGGCTGTTTTTATAGGCGCGAGAAAGGTTTTCTCGAAAATTCCAACAACAATACTGAGCCATATTTAACCAGTTACGGAAGTGGATATATTGTCGATTCTTACGTTCACGAATATTATACAACCTCGGAGAATTGGCGGGAGTTTCGCAGTAGGTAACTAACACTATAAGCTAGGTACATTTTTAAATATAAACTCAATTCAGACAAACGTTGACATTAAAATAAATGTATATATAACAAATTCGTTACACGCAATATATATCTAACACTGTAAGCTACGCATATTTTTAAATACACATTTAATCTAAACAACGTTCATATTAAAATAAATACATAACGACAAATTCGTTACAGGTGTGATACATGGATCTTCTAGTCATAGTGAGAAACGGCGGTACGTCCGCAATGAAAGTCTAGTTATGTTTATTACATAAAGAGCACAATAAACATGGAGAAGCCACTGTATCTCTCGATAACTCCAACAAAAATCTCAAGTACTCAACAGCTGTATCGACCATACAAACTGTGTTTGAGACTTCGTTATTACCACACGTAAAACACGGTAATGATTTTCATTATGTTATGTTACAAGGTTGGTTCATGGATCAGTTCTACATTCCAATACGTTGGCTTGTTGTATCTACACACGGTCATGATTTTCATTATGTAATGTTACAAGACTGGTTCATGGATCAATTCTACATTCCAATAAGTTGGCTTGTTGTATCTACACACGGTCATGCATTATGTAATGTTACAAGACTCAGTTCTACATTCCAATACGTTGGCTTGTTGTATCTTCACACGGTCATGATTTTCATTATGTAATGTTACAAGACTGGCTCATGGATCAGTTCTATATTACAATAAGTTGGCTTGCTGTCATGACTTTCATTTCATTCTTCACAAGTATGTAATGAGACCAAATATTCTGACAGCTTCTTTCAGTGGAAGATAGTAAACATGATCATTTGTGCTGTTATTCATTTGGTGTTTTTTGTTGTTGTTGTTGTTGCTGCTGTTGTTGTTTTTTGGCACCATACAAACAATAGGTAATTCCATTCTTGACTGTTATATTTTTTCCTTAGTTATTATTTAGGTAAATGTTGCTTTGAAATATATCTCAAAATATTCATGCACACACATATTATCTAAAAAACAAATGTTTTTCAGGAAAATGCGAAAATTTGAAAATATAGTTTTACAATAAACCTAGTAAATTATTTGTGATCAGGAAAAAATATGCATCCTTATAAACTCTTAAAAATTGTTGTATTATTTTTAAAATTTGTATTGGTTATTTTGAGGAAATTAATGTTCAGAAGAAAAAGTTCTTAATTTACTTTACCAAATATACTTAAAAGTTTTAAAACGACATTTGTGTAAAACATCTATTTACAATTAAAAGGAATACAAGTTAAAATCATTACACAATAAATAGTTTTTGAAAACAGAGACTTGCCCTAAAAGAAGACTCTACATATTTTTCGGTGTCCTACGACACCATCTTCAGGATTAACGGTAAAGGTATGGTTTGGACTCATATACCCACATAACCATTTAAATTCCAATAACGTGATCTAGCCTTAAACAACCCAGAGTTACAAAACATCTGTCCAGTACTTTATTATTTCTAGACTGGACCAGCTTCCTTGTTTAATACGATAAGTAGGGGAAAACATTCAACTGGGATCGTTGCTGCAATAAAAAGTTTGTTGGGTATAAATTTCGCGCAAAGCTACACGAGGGCTAACTGCGCTAGCCCTCCCTAATTTAGCAGTGTAAGACTAGAGGGAAGGCAGCTAGTCATCACCACCCACCGCCCACTCTTGGGCTACTCTTTTACCAACGAATAGTGGAATTGACCGCGCCATTATAACGTCCTCAAGGCTGAAAGGGCGAGCATATTTGGTGTGACGGGGATTCGAAACCGCGACCCACAGATTGTAAGTCGAACGCCCTAACCACCTGGCTATGCCGGGCCACAATAAAACGTAAACAAACAAGTAAAGTCATTCTACTTGGATAGATTTTAAAACGATTTTCAATCCCTACTTGTGCAAATTTAGACTGTTTTATTTAGCTATACGGATCATAATGCCAACCAAAGTAGGGTTTGAAAATCGTTTTAAAATCTATCCAACAGCAATGATCCCTATTTTCTGTTAAAATTTTATTTTATTTTTTCCTGTATACTTGTTCAGTTTTTATATGGAATGGACACAACATCTATGAACTTTTATTATAGCCATATCCCTGAAAGATATAACTTTTACAATAATTAAAACCACAACCACAAATTTATAAAATGTAATACTTACTTTGGCCTACAGATAAGTGTATAAAGCTGTTAAAGAAGGGATTAAGTTTTATAAATTTTTTATTGTGTTTTTAATTTTCTTTTCATTACTTTTTTGTGGCAGGATTCCTACTTCATTTTGAAATTTCTAATGTTTTAATACTCTTGTTTGTTTACTTTTTTCTTTAGAAATTGTCTCGTGTCTATCCATCGGTATGTAGCGTCATCTGTTAGGTTGAATTGAAATTAAAAGGTATTTAACTACGTGCGTGATATGTTTACCATTTATAGAAAATATGTATATATTATTTTATTTATCACAATATCAAAAGCGGATATCCACAGACCAGTTAAGTAAGCTGGAGAAATATTTTAGCGACAGTCTAAGGGCTAGCCCCGCTGACGTGATCAGGTAGGTAGCAGGTAGTAGATTTTCTTCAGGTTTAGTATGCCATACGAACTGCACTCAGATCAAGGCCGTAACTTGGAATCAGCTGTGTTTCATGAATGCTGCAAGTTGTTTGGCATACGAAAGACCAGAACAATGCCACTTC